GGGAAGGTGGGAAGGAGGGAGGAAGGGAGGAAGGGAAGGAGGGCAGGAGGGGAGGGAAGGAGGGAAGGAGAGGTGGAGGAAGAGTGAGAATGACACATTGGAGGAAGAGAGGGAAAGGAGGGAGGAAATGAGAGAGGAAGGGGAGAAGGGAGGGAGATCGAGAATTGAGACAACACACACCTTTGCCATCTGATTCACATTGAGCGGCATTCCAATCATGACTGATGACCTGCATGCCCGAGATGCCAGCATCGCACGAATTTTCGAAGGCCGGACAGATGGTATACAGTTCTTACTACACCCGTCTTTGGCCTTCACGTAAGACGATGTTTTCGAAATTTCCCTTGACACTGCCATTTCCTGTTCGCTTCTCTGCCCAAGAGAACCGTCGTTTTCCACTGCTTCACCACTGTCAACCTCCAGCATCGGCTCATCGATGCCTGGCGTTGCAGATAAAGGCACTGGCTCATCTGCAAGCATCGCAATTAGCTCCTGTACATCTGACAGAAGACACAGAGAGAAGCACATGTAGCAAGCGAAAACAGCTTCAGCGCATGAAACCCACCGCCAGCTTGCAGAAATTTCATTTTTCTCAGCGATTTCGCAAAACTTGCACAGTAGTGCATGCTTACTGTGTCTTCTTGAACGCATGAGCATTCCAAAGAAATTCAGACAACAAAAGATGTCCATTGTCATGCAATTATTTGCCCAGAATCTTGGAGGTAGAGGTCACCACAGACCGTACCCAAAGGAAAAGAGGGGAGAAAAGGAGAAAGAGAAGAGGGGATAGCAAAGAAAACACAGAGATGACAGAGGGAGACAAGGCGAGACGAGAGGGCGAGAGGAGACTAGAGGAGACAAGTGGAGATGAGGAGACGAAAGGAGAGAAAATAGAGGAGAGGAGAGGAGAGGAAAGAGAGGAAAGAAGGGGGGAGGAGAGAGGAGAGAGGAAACAGGAGACAGGAAACAGGAGGCAGGAGAGAGAAGCGAAGAGAGAAGAGAGAAGAGAGAAGAGAGAAGAGAGAAGAGAGAAGAGATGAGAGAGTACAGGGGACAGAGGAAAGAGGACAGAGGACAGAGAACAGAAGAAAAGAGGAGAGGGTACAAAAGTAAAGAGGAGAATAGAGAGAAGAAACTCACCACCTAAACCAAAGACAATGTTCTTGCTGAATGGAACGCTTATAAGCTGAAGGCGCTGTCCTGGGGGCCGGTCATTCTTCACCGCAAAGTCAAACCCATTCTTCCTGCACATGTATCAAAGACAGGCGTAGAAGTGATTACATTAGTGAGCAGACAGCAAAAGAAGTGGACAGGAAGGATCAGATAGGGTAAGGAAAAGACAAGACAAGTAAAGCGGCAAAGCAGCAGACCACCAAAGCCAGGAGACCAGTCAGAAGGCTAATCCACAAAAAGGATACCCATGCAAGCCAGAATGTGTGGATGTAAATTACAGAACCTGGGAGAATAGTACTATTATAGTAGAATACATACTTCATTCCCACTTTCTCCGCTATCTCGCTGAGGGCAAGATAATGCCTCCACCTATGTGGCCTGTTTCTTAAGACAGATTAGTTGTTTTTTTTTAAAAAAAAAGAACCATTTCTCAAGTTTGTGTGTATCATCCTTGTGCAGGGGCCATGCTAATCTTCTGTGTATCATTCCATTTTTTTGGTTTTCTTTCTTGACAGGAGCACAACAGTAAGTTTGCTTAAAGAAACTGAAGTCGATGTGCTCCCACGGAGTCGATTTTCGAAAAGAGACATGGAAGGGAGGCCAAATCAAGCCCGACAGTAGATTCGACCAAACCGTCTCACTGAAGTTTTGATTCAACAAAAATAGAACTCTACGCGCCGCCTCAGAAAGTGCTTTCGGAAAAAGAGAATAAGGGCCGAATCAAGCCAAACAGTAGAACTCTAGCAAAAAGTATCGCTGAAGTTTCGCTTCAACAAACAGCGCTCACTGTGCTTCCTCGGAGCGTCCTTTTGAAAAGAAGAATGAGAGCTGAATCGATCCCAACAGTAAGAGTCGAGCACAAAGTCTTGCAGAAGCCTCCCTTTCAACAAAAAAAAAAAAAAAAAAAAAAAATCCTCTGTGCTGGTTGAGAATCAAGCCCTTTCAAAGAGACGAACGAGGGGCCGAAGCAAGTCCACGTCTAATATACTGCAAAGAGTCACAATGTTAATGATGGAGCATCAGAAAAGTAAGGCGAAGCGGAACACGAGCGGGGAGGAAGCAGAATTGAAAATTCACCAAACAAAAAATAGCCAAGAATACCTGGCGAGAAACAAGACAACAACGGACAGAATCCATCCTGGAGGCCACTATCCAGACTAACAGTAACCTTTCTTCTTCAGTTTTAAGCACCTTCCATAATTACTAATTTATTAATAATTATAATTAAATTATTCCAATTTTTATTATTTTTTAATTTTTTATTAATTTATTGTTAATTTATTACCTTTGTAACCTTATGGAATTACAGGAACAGATATACATCGGAATCTCCTTCGCAGGAAAGGACTCAAGCGATCAATTAAAGCCATCTCTTTAGATTCTTTACCCACACCCTGGTTGCGAAAGTGTCCCCAACCAATGGGCTTAGCTCAGTTGGTACACACATGAACTGTTGAAATACCGACCCGAGTTCGAATCCAGACGCAATCAGATGAACAGAATATACTAATATAGTAATTCTGGATTGCCTGGGGCCAGTCAGTTCAATTAATAAGTCTGCGACTGGCGCCGGTCAGTTCAAGGCCATCGCCCTTTTGTAAAGGATGGAATTAGAGAAGGAGGGGGAAAGAAGTAAAAAAAAAATAAAAAAGAGTGTCCACACTTTTTTTCTTTTTCCAACGCTAATACGCTATCCAACTTCCAACCTCTTTTTCACATCATTTTCAATTGTTCTCGTTTTTTGTTTTTTTTTAATTTGTTTTTTTTTTTTGTTTTGTTTTGTTTTAAATCAACCAAGCCCCTTCTACTCTGGGAGACGTCAGTCCGGTTGCTTATCACCGGCGAGCATGAGTACAAACTTACTACAAAGAAAAAGAACTGAAAGAACAGAATTGAAAAAGACTCAGCCCAACACTTGCGGTACGAGTCACCTACTCAAGGGGGGGGGCTGCTACGAACCAACCCCCATCATTTTCAATTCTTCCACAATGTGATTTTTTTCATACAGAGCCTGATTCTTTCATAACATGGAACCTCCTTCACAGCAGACCCTAAGAACAACAACAAATTACAATGAACAGCCTGCAACTTATCTGTTCTTCCTTTCTCCGCCTATAAAAACAGCCCCTTATGGTCCTGGCTCAAGTATCGGCTTGGTCTCACCTATTGACTACTCAGCTTTCAAGGATAGGAGTAAGGTTCTAACGACTACCCTGAAATCGGGATTGAAGAAGAATGTTCTAACGACTACCCAATGACCGGCTCTGGAGAACACGGTGGTCCTAGCGACTACCCAATGATCGGCGCTGGGGAAGGAGAAGGTTCTATAACAACTGCGCATGGTAGGCTTTGGAGAACGCAAAGGTTCTAACAACAGCACCCTGACCGCCTTTGGGTGAGACGAGGAGAAGCTTCTACACACTGCTATGCGATCACTTTCTGGCGGTTACTGCCCTTTCTCCAAACAAAGGACTCACTGCCATGCTGCAGACAATTGCCACCAATCCACATCACACACTTTCTTGAAAACGTTTCTCCCATCGCAGCGCCGCAAGGATGAGTTCAGTTTCACCTGCGCTTTCCTGTAAGAGCTGTATCTGTACGTTGGTAAGGAAGGGTAGAGATCACAGGATCCCGTAGTTTTGTTGCGAGCATCCTTGACATCATCTCCAAAGCTTAGAAGGATAGCACCGAGCAGTGTGAATCTGTGGAGAGGAACAAGTTTTCAGCTTGGCCTCAGCCGTGCACTGATCGGAAGGAGACGGTTCTGAGTCCTAATGACTGCCATGCAATCGGCTTTGAAAAAAAATGTTTGTATTACATTATTCTTCTACTGTTCTACATATTTAAAAAAAAAGCTTTGACGTTTGAACTTTGAACGCTTTTTAAAATAGTGAAAACATGTCTCAAATGCCACAGACTTTGAATATAATGTACGTATGTTACTATGTTGTATTCGAATACAACGCACGTACCATAACGGTGCAGACCAGAACAAGAACCGACCTCTCTCACAAAGTACAAGATAGCACAGTGGAAGGTTTAAATACCAATGATCCGAACGAATCAATGTCGCAGTGCAGCCCAAACATGCATCTTCATCATTCCATGGTGTGAAGGGGCCTGGTGCTCACACAGGAAGAATGCGCCAGTCCCCAACCATACACAGATGAAGAAGAGGGGGGTTAGACGAAGAAGAGGGGAAGATGGGAATGTCGTCAACACCAAGTCTTCGGCACAGGTCCCCAAATACGACCTCGTCAAATGTCTGAATCCCAATGTCGAGTCTGAATCCAACGTCGTCAAGTCCCAATGTCACCAATCTCTCTCTCTCTCTCGTAGTCCGCAGATACTGAGAAGTCAGGTAGCGAGAGGGTGAAGAAGAGATGGTGGACTTAGAAGAGGAAGAAAAAGAACTCTCTCTCTCTCTCTCT